CCAATGAACAGCAGCTGTGTCCTGGGAAGAGAGAAGAGTGAGAGAGAGACAGAGGGGTGGCGCAAGAGAGGAGGCGGCAGAGAGAACACCACACTCACACAAGAGTAGTTTCAGGAGGCCCGTAACACATGGATATACATGAATATATCCTCGCTCGGGTCTGTAGGTCAAAGGATACATCAACTTTCAGTCTGTGGGATAATGGTGTGCAGATAAATACTGGAATATTGAGTCCTCCGATACCAGATATTTATTCTCTAGAATTGATTCTCATTTTAAAATATTCACATTTTAATAATTTAGGGTACATTTATACTTTAACATTAACGGAAAAACAGTGGAAAGTAATTATATTATCGGGTTCATCGGAATGATTGACAGAAGCTACTTGACAATCCTGTCATGGTGATATGTAAAATACAGCTGTATAAATGCGTCACAGCTCACATGTGCTTCCAGGTGCAGCGGAAGAAAACGTGGAGCTGGAAGCACGCGTGTAGCTGAATTTGGAAAGTGCTGACGTTCTGTTGACATTTAAACAACAGGGACTTCCTCGTATGATAAATATTAATACAGAATCCCATTTGTTCAAATTTACATTCACAAATATGGTTATGAAATTAGTAATTAGTAAATAAATACATGCTACAGTACATAGCTGTATTAGTTTACCTTGGGGGTCATATGTGTGTCCCTGCCATCACATGGATTCAGTTGGACTAGATTTAGTCAGGTAAAGATGTAGCGTAGAGCATTTAAAGAGCATTACGTAGGTTGGGTATCATTAAAATATATGCAGTAGCTGTAAGCAACAACTCATAATATTTCATACATAAGATAGATCAATATAACCTGTATTGATAAAATGTTTCTCAGTTGTTTTATGATTTTCAATCAGTCACACTCATTTTTCATTTGAAAATTTAGGTACTTACTTTTCATGTTTTTTTATTTCTTGTATAATAATGCTTTCTAATTAATAAGAACAAGAAGTCTGATGTCTTTTATTCATTACAAAAGGTATACATTATAGTATACTGTATCATCGATGCCATCCTGAATTTTACTTGCTATCAGATCGGAATAGAAATCAGTATTGCACGTCACTGGCAGCCAGAGAGCAGCAGGCGATAGAGATGTTTTGGCTTTGTTTAGGGGAGCTGTTAGGTGTCCATGTTTTTCAACTGGTATTTCTTTCTATATTTTTTTTCTGTTTTGCAACACAGATTCTCTTTGGGGTTGCATAAGGAAGGTTGTCTGGTGTTTAAAAAACTCTTAACAGCTCAAACACAGCTGGCGAATGACAAGGGGCAAGCCATAAATGGTTTGTCCAACCTGAAAAGAGAAGAGAGTAGTAGAGATAGATATATGTTGATAGTTCCGCCTCTTGTTTCAGATAGTTTACATGTCATTTTATGAACTTGGCAGGAATCTTTCCAAGCGGAGCAGGTTTACTCATTTGCATTTTTCCTGCTGTCACATCAGGTGTGTTCTGGATTGTTTTCAGGTGAAATCATTTCTACAATGAGATCCAAAAAGGGTAGGCTATCATGTTGTTGTCCTTATATTAGAGAGCTCTTTTAGCTTTGTGTATTGTCCTTTAGTGTATTGAATTAGAGTATTTCGTCGTATGTGTTTTTATGTGTCCAGTACTAGTTTATGTGTAACTGCGGTTTACTTATTGATGCCTTTTTTAGTGAGGAAGTGGACAGTGCATCCTCGGTTTTTTAACATAAAACTCATTGTTGCATCCCAAATATGATCTCCTTAGACTAATTTTTAGTTTTAGTGTCCTTATTTTCCTCTGACTTGTCTCTTCTGTGTCTAGGTTCTAGATCTAACATAATGTAATGGAAGTTTGTTAGGCACAACCACCACAAGACACAATACTGAAAGACAATGGCACTACACATATTCCTTAAAAAGTAAACTTTTAGCACTTACTTCAGATATCCTGCTATCAATCGGCAACTGAATGAAGTCAAGCTTGCTGTGATAATTCACTGAAAATTACGTCTACAGCCGAAATTCTCATTTAACGTAACTTATATCAATGTGACATTTAATTATTAGATGTCCATTCAACATCCTTCCTGTTCTAAAGGATTACAACCACAATACAAATGCCATACAAATACACCTGGCTGCAGGAATACAGATTGAAATCTGTCTGGAGATTCTCTCTAAATTACAAAGAAGTTACTTGCAAACTTCCAGCAATCTCTCTGAGAGGGACTGCAATCAGTCCAGGTCAGACTGTCACTCTTTGCAGAATGGTGGCTATCAGGCGGTCTGTGCAATTGCAGTGTGATCAAAAGTGGTCATGAGTGTTCAAGAGCCTCAAGTTCTGGGCATCCACCAGTTATAATCTGCTGGAGAATGTAAAAACATTAAAAAGAGCCACCAGGCTGCCACTGATTCGTTTTCATTTGTTGTTGTTAATTCAAGGAGGTTGCAATCCTATTTGTATTTGTGTGATTGTTTGATTCTCCATATTCAAAGTGCGTTTAGTGTTGGACAAGTTTGTTCAGCTAACGTTATCACTGGATGGTGGTGCAGGGGATGAGCCCTCTTGATGTTTAGTATTCTGAGTAGGGCTGCAGATTGATTATTATGGTAATCTATCAATTATTTCATCAATTCATCGAGAAATTAGATAAGAAATGCTTTTGGCTTATCAATGAGCAATAATAAATATTCAAATGAGAACAAACACAGGTCTTAAGTTGAACTCCATTCAACATCTGTCCAAAAACAACAACTAAATCATTTGATTTTATGTCCGTGCCATATTGAAATTTAACTTTTAAAATAAACTGTTTCTATGTCAAGCATCATATGTATAATTGTCTACTTTACAATATAAAAGGGCCATTGGTGCTGTACAAATAAAATTGAATTGAACTGAAAGAAAGCATTTCTGAAATGCAAAAAGTATCTAAATAATCAGAAGTACAATCAAAGGTCAAAGTCACATAAAATACGGTATATATGGAATCTAAGAAATTTACCTTTACTATGTGTTCTTGGAAACCTTTCTGACATTAATAGGAGGCAAGTTTTTGAGTAGCTGAAAACAGACATTATAATGTCTCAGGTCATTTACACGTCATTTTTTATAAATTTACAGAAAACATTGTCAAAGACAGCAGTTTACTCATTTTCTTTTTTTCCAATTGTTACATAATCCGTGTTCCATTAACTTTTCAGGGGAAATGAATTCTACAAGGGCATCTAGCATCATGCAAGGGTATGCTTCATTTTTGTTCTCTTTATGTTAGAGATGCTTTCTTTATTAAGTATTTAATCTGTTTAATGCTAGTTTAAGAACACAAAATAAATATGAATATCAGGACTAAAAGTTGCCTATTGATGATTTCTGTAAAGGTACATGGCAGTAAGATTGTGGGGGTTTCTACATGCATGTTTTTTCTAAACATATTTTTCTATGAATATAATAATCATTATCATTATGATTATTGTAGTTGTTGCTATTGTTATTTTCATATATTCCATTCCACTGGATGAGTATTCCACATCCAAAACATTTTTCATTTAAATAAGGATACATTCAGATAAATATTTTGCTAATTCTCTTACTGACATGTGCAGTAAGGGGAAACTGTGCAATCTTATTGAAACACAAATGCAAAAGTACCCTGCCTCACTATTCCTAATTTTTTCTTTTTTTAATTAACACGCCAATTCTTTGCCTGTTTGATGTTAGAAGGCAATTGCATCAAATTTTCAATATAAACAATAATATCTTATATATAGGATCATAGCTTGGTCATTTTCAACCACACTAGGGAAGCTCGTCCCATTTTGACCCTGGGGCCTTCAGGTTATGCTCGGCACAAATGTTCCTGTATACTATGCTTGCCACTTTATGGCATTTTAGCATCTTGCACCTTGCACCCGAGCCTGTCCCAATTATTTGAGAAGGGTTCCTGCCATCAAACTCAAAATTACCTTATTTTTTTTCTTAAAATGTTGAGCTTAAAATTGTTAGATGTTTTGTGTGCGTTCTATTGTGAATAAAATATGGGTTCATATTTATAATCAAATGTATATTTATAATACAAATCACTGCATTTTGTTTACATTTACATTTAACACAGTGGCCCAGCTATAATTAAAATTGGGGTAATAGTTATATAAACCGATGCTCTTCACATTGGACTGATGATGATGAAGTTTATCACAAGGCCTATTCACCTTGATAAAAAACATGTAACTATAGATGAATAAGTGGTGTTTTGTTGTTGTTGTTGTTGTTCTAAACTGATTCTCTCCATTTCCCCAGGATAACATGTTGCATGCTTTGGTGGCTGTTGTCTTTTGTATCTCATGGAAGCTTCTCCTGGAGCTGTGTATCAGGAGCTTCCTGTGGCAATTATTGCAGTTCAGTTTGTAATGAAACATTCTGTAAGTGGTTTAATGCATTTCTCTTAACTTTATCTTAAGTAAACTGAGAAGAGACAGGGACAAGTTTTAGATGAATTTCATAAATATTCTTTATTTATTAGGGTGGCAGCGTGGTGCAATGCTTAGCATTGTCGCTTCATAGCAGAAACCCCAGGTTTTGAATTCACTGTGGCACCTTTCTGTGTGGCATTTGCTTGTTCTTCCATGCTTTGGTGGGTTCTTTCCAGGTACTCTGGTTTTCATCCACAGTCCAAATATATGCATTGACCTAGGTTAATTGGTGAGTCTAAATTAGGCATAGGTAAAAATGTGAGTGTGAAGGGTTGTCTATCTCTCTGTGTTAGCCCTGGTTGTGGTAACCAAATCTTCCTTAACCACAAACACTTCCGTCCTTCCCTCAACTTTAGTTGCCTCTGGAACACATTTAGAGAACAATGGTTCAAGTGTTAAATCCTCTTTCTGTAGCCAAGCGACCTCACTAGCACTAGGGAGAGCCTCGGATTTCAAAGGATATAAAATGTGTTCAGCTACTCTTGTTCTCTTCACCTTTTCATGTCTTCTCTGTCACATGCTCTTTTTTGGTTTAGAATGAGTGCTAGACTCGTCCAATGGCGCATCCTCATTTGCAAAAGGCAATTCATCCCAACCCAAAGCATTAACCTGTTGCTCCTTTGCTTTTGACCTTGTGACCACTAACAAACTTTCAACTGCTTCAGCCTGACATGAATGCTTGGTTATTAGCTCTGTGAATATTGGAAGATCACGGCCCAACACCACTTGATAAGGCAGAGTTTGCAGCACTCCCACTGAAAGAGTGTAACACTGGCCTTCAACTTCAATTGCAACCTCAGCAATTGGGTACGATACCTTATCACCATGAATACAGCACACATTCACTGTGGAGGCCTATCTCCCCCCACCACTTTCCCTGCCAGTGGCAGACGCCCTCAGACAAGGGTAGATGGATGGGCGTCCAGGTACCCATCAGCTCACTCCTGGTGGCTGCTTGTCGGGGCCTGGAGCCTGGGGCTCTCTCGGCCTGAGGCTCGGTCACTCTGGCACAGCTGGCTGCCAGCGGAGCTCACGGGCACGTCACTGCCCATGAGCTCCGCTGTTTATTATATTGAGTTCAGCCTGCTGTTGCATCAGAGTTCGCAAACGTTTGGACAATTCAGCCACATTCTCTTGTCCATCAATATAGCCACTTACTGCCCCTTGTTGGTCGCTGCCATCTTGTAAATCACCTGCTTCACATTCTGGAACAAGCCCTCTCTTTGCTTGGGTAGACATCTTCTCCACTCATTAATTGGCCTGGAAACCCACTGCTGCTGCCACCAAATGTGGTAGAACTTGACTTAAGCAGCCAAAGAAGTGCAGGAGACAGATGCTGTCCAGTGTAGCGAGTGATTTATTCACCATTTTGTGACCAAACCATATTTACAAAAATAAATTTAAAAAAAAACTCAACTCCATAATTAACTCAGTTCAAATAAATATAACTAAACTTAAATCAACGGAAATTAAGGTCAAACTCCATACAGCTACACTGACCTGGTCCTTCCTTCCTGAACACCTGCTTTCACCCGCTTAAATAGTCCACTCACCCCTGGACTATTCCATTAGGTAGGTGAGAAGAACCAGAACCAGTCCATTTACTTCTTTTGCACAAAGTAGTCTATGGCTAAAAGTTCATGATAGAATGAATAATGTCTATTTTGAGCTGAAACGTAATACCCCCATGAAAAATTTATTTAAATTGTTTCCTTTAATTACTTTACAGCCAGCTGCTGTATGAGGTATACAACAAACATCCTGGATGGTTCAACCCAAACAAACCCTGCTGAGTAAGCATTTTATTTACCCTAAATACATGATTTTTTTTTTCAGTTTGTCAGAATTTGGTGTTTGAACATTTGTGTCTGAGTGCAATTTGTAAAACACTTTACATTAAACATGAAGAATTTGGTAATATTAAGAATATTTTTGTGTTATTGAATCGATGACAGGGTGTAAACTAATATAATACTTGTGATGAACTATTCTTGTCCTTTTCCACCAGAGCCTTGATGAGCCTAGAAAAAATTCTAGAAGAAACTCCAGTAAAAGGAGTCATAAATATATCTTCAGGCAATTTTGTGGCTCTCCTCTTCAAACCCACTGGTTCCTTTACAGGCCTTGAAATTTATGCCAGTGACAATGAGGTAAAAACCCAAAAGACAGAAAGGATTGACACTGCTGTTTTCACTTTTTGGGAGCAATACTAACCACGTCCAATCATTTCTTTGGCTTGGGCTGAAATATCTGAACAACTGTTAGACGATATTTAAACAATGTGTACACACACTTTGATCTCAGATGATGACTTTTACTGATTACTGCTTTGATTGACATTGCCTTGAGCACAATTTGCAGGTCATATTATTTTCTTATCAATTATTACATCACTGAACACATTTCCATTTCTAAATTTCCTTGCTATTAATACTTCAAAAAGCCTTTTAAATACCATCAACTTTTCAGTAGCTGTGACAGTTCTATCATACTATTTCATGTATTCAAATGCAATATTTCTCCCTCTGTTTCTGGGAATGATATAGGCAGGATTGAGTCAGGTCCCCAAGAGCAAAGTGCATGTTCAGCTACCAAGCACTCTGAATATTGGACAACAGGACAAGATTGTGTTCTCCTTGTTTAAGTTGCCTGAAACAAATGGGGTAGGGCAGCATATGGGCTTCTGTAAAATACTTTGTTTCTTCTGTTGTGTATAAAATTCTCCACAATTTTCTCACAGTCAATATGAAATATGTTTTGAGTTCTAAATCAAGCTTGTTCCAATGAATCCCATGGATACTTGATCCGAGTGGGTATTGGGGAGCTATCTTGTTATTTGATTTGTGAGCAGGTACCATTTTTAAACCTGATTTATCTTTTACTGTTGTAGTGTTTATAGTTTATTTCTGCACGTAACTCCAACTGCAAATTCACATAGATTTTTTTTGTGATTGATTGTATATCATTGGCCAAGTTTTAGCCAAGTTCACACTCATTCAGAATTCCTTTCAGTATTTTTGTACATAATTTGCTTTATTATTATTACAAAGGAAAAAAGTAAATGGGTTAAGGGTTGTGTTACACATCATGCAGGCTGAATTATGTTTTGAAAAAAGAGGAAGAGTTACTCAAACACAGTGATGCACAAGAAGTTGATCTTTTGGTATTATGTAAATCAAAATGTAAAGCAATACAAATTTAGAAAAATTTGAATTTAGGGGGTAGAGTAGTAGTACATGGGAAAAGACAAACCTCTTGTTTTTACTAAGATGTAAATGACAGATTCAAAACAGTGCGACATTATCTCTGAGTTGCTTTCCCCTTTTGCAGTTAGAATTTTATAAAAATCTTACGTAAAATCATTATGAACAAACTTTTAAATGAACTGGTGTATGTGTTGCATTCTAGACTGATGCGGGAGTGTTATATGATGTATATGATCGAAGACTGGTTATCCTGAGTGTGCAGGGCAAGCAAATATCAGGTCTTAAGGATCCTGTCAACATCACCATAAACTTTAAGGATATAAATGTAATTATAATTTCATTTCATCACTTGTTCCACTCTTGCATATTGATATATAATCCTGAATATTATGGAAGTCTGTGTAAATTATTATTATTACTAAAAGTTAGTAAAAAAATATAGATGCATAACACTAAACAGATATAAAATAGTTATTTTGTTATATGTCTGTTTATTTTTGCCATAGAAAACCCAGGAACCCTCCTGTCAGTTCTTTAATTTTTCAACAAACAGTGAGTAACCAAGCATGATGTCTCTCATAAAAAGTAATATGTACTATAACTATGTCTTTTTTAAATTTGTAGTCATCTGGGTTTCTAGTTTCACTCAACATTACAGATTTCTGAGTGAACTGATATAATTAAGAGGTGACAGCATCTCATGGATAATAGTTGTTTTTGTTTCACTTACCAGATTTCAGTACGGATGGCTGTCACACTCGGTGGACTGATGGTCAGAGTAATGTCACCTGTTCCTGTGACCATTTCACATACTTCGGCGTGCTCATGGTAGATTTATTCTTTTTTATTATACAAAGTATAATGAACAAAAAAGGCATAAAATTATGCCAGTAATTTAAGAAATCTTTTAAATAAATAAATAAGAAGGAGAGATTTAAAAAGAATTACATCACAGTTTTGTCATGCCTCAGTTAGGCTTGTTAAATCCAAAAGTTTAGGAAAACACTAAACAAGTATTGCTTGCTATGAAGGTTTGCCAGGGTTAGGGCTGCCACGATTAGTCGACTAGTTACGATTACGTCGACTATCAAAATCGTCGCCGACTAATTTAATAGTCGACGCGTCGTTTGAAGCTTTGTAAGATCACAAAAGACGCAGGAATAAGTAGCAGGATTTAAGCGTGTAATAACGGACTGAAACAGAAGATGGCAGCTCTGCATGTACAAGGATGCCAGCTGCCATTAACCCCGAAGAAGAAGAAGCTATGTCCCAGAATTCATAGCGCAGCCCAGCTCAGTTTCCAACAATGGCAGCAGCTAGTTAGTTTGAATATTACTCTTATTATTCTTTCTGGGTCACAAAATAAACGTTTAACATATATTCAGGCAAGAATGTAGCTGTGTAAACTTTAAATATCTGCTCAGTTTATCAAGACACCACATATTTTCAAAAACACTCCGACGTTTTCGGAGACGTCTGCTACCCACTAGCTCGATAGCTAGCCGGGGGCAAGGCTCACTAGCGCCGGACACCGGACTCCCGGCAAACAGTTTTCAAACCCACCGCCGTCTTTCGCTACTCAGGTTAAACATATATGAGTCACTTAGATAACTTAAAAATGTTATTGTTTGGCTTTTTTCAGTATTTTATTTGTTCCTGAGTAAATCGGTTTGGCTGAGATTAAAGTTACAGTTTTTACACAGCTGAATAAACGTCAAGCAGACAGCTGATCATCAGAAGTGTGAGATGCTCGAGAATATACTCCGGTGTCCTGTTATATTTTAGATAGCAAGGAGCAGATGGCTGAGTTTATTAAACTCCACTGAAACAATCTGCAAATTTCATTAAAATTTAATAAACTAACATCTTGTCTTTTTTAGTTAGCACATACCTTAAACACTTAAAGCTGTAAGCTAATGATAGTTATATAAGAGCAGATGCTGCTGGTGCAATAAGCTGTAGGTTTTACGTCCAATGGATGCATGATCTGATTAGTCGACTAATCGCAAAAATAATCGGTGACTAGTCGACTATCAAAATAATCGTTTGTGGCAGCCCTAGCCAGGGTAAGAACATTTATATGCAAATATTAGTAAATGAGGTCCAGTGTCCTTCAGACAGGCAAGAACAAAATGGAGGCAACGTACAAGAATACCAAACATGGAAAAGGTCCACGCAGCTCATACTCAAGCGTGGAATGATGTGGTACCTTGCAGTCATTGAGCTGACTGCATTCACGGTGTACCTATGCATTACAGTGTCAAATGTGAGGCACTCTGTCTGACAGCTAAAGCTTGGGTCAGGCAACAAGCTAATGACCCCTACACACCAGCTACTGGAATAAAAGTTGTGAGTTTATTATAACGGATACAGTAACATTTAATTAGCTTTCTGTTAAAAACAGCAGAGGTGATTTAATATGCCAGTTAACTTGCCAATTGTAACAAAAGCAGTTAGGTCTGAAATATTGTTATTAAAGTTAAAAAGGCTAAACTTAAACATTTTGTAAAATGAATACATTTAAAAAAAACTATCTTAAATAAATAACCGCCCCATTTTTAGGATTTGTCCACCTAGTAAATATAGAATCACTAAACTTAAAACATCTAAAAACCTCAATTTTGTGCCACTAATAATGTGAACAAATAATGTGAAAGTGTATTTGCTCCACAGACGTCTCCTTCTGTGCACGTCTCAAAAAAAGAAATTGAGATATTAGCATACATTTCTGTGATTGGCTGTAGCGTGTCTCTCTTTACTCTGATCATCACCGTTTTACTCTTCATCACAAACAGGTAATTTGTGGTTTTTTGTTTTTGTTTTTTCCCCATCAACATATTTTTCAATCAAATATGACAAAGAAAGTTGTCATTTACAATAGATCCCTTCTTCTCTATCCAACAGGACGCTCAGAAAAGATGTTTCTATGAACATCCACATCAATCTCGTCATCGCCCTGATCCTCCTCAACCTGCACTTCCTGCCCAGTCAGGCAGTGGCAGCACACCCCTCCACTTGGCTCTGTTTCTACATGGCTCTTGCCCTTCACTACTCCCTGTTGGCCACTTTCACCTGGATGGCCTTGGAGGGGTTCCACCTCTACCTTCTC